TTCGATGTCATCCTCGGTCTGCCGTGGCTTAGAAAGCACCAGCCATGGGTCAGCTGGCAGCATCGATCTGTGAAGATGTCTGACGTTTGTTCATCAGATGGACATCTAATGAACGTCTTGGAGCGTCCACAATCGTGTGGATTTACTACGAGTTAGTACGATGGCCTCACTTGTGGTACGGTCGTTAGTACGACTGCACAAGATCACAGTGTAGAAGGCCATTACACTGTGGAACCAGCTTCCGGAACCTGTGTAGAGACACAAGCTGCGCCGAAAGTTCACCACTCGAAGAGATAGAGTGGACTGGAACACGGATGCACACCAAGAAGGGTGTATCCGAGAAGAGAGATCAGTGTTGTTCAAGATGAAGAACACGCTGAAGCGGTATCGACAAACAGAAAGTCGATCGTAGAGCAAGCCCGATCGACTGAAAGAGAGTCGATCGAAGAGGATGTGACTGTGGTAGTGCACCCACAGTCAGCACACGTATTAGAAGAAAGTTCCAGCGTTCCTGAGAGTGATAACTTCCGAGAGAGTAATGTTGAGGGTGTGTTTCCCCAATCACCTGCGGATGTGTTTTTCCAGGTAATCACCGAGACAGTGAATGTCTTGGTGAATGACGGATCAAGTGTAGGCGCTTATACACTTGATCTGGATACAACTCCGAAGTCATCTTCGGAGGTAATCAAGCTGCCAACGCTATAATCTAGAATACTCTTGCAAGATCTGCGTAGTGACAAGATCAAGCAGATCTGCGTACTCGTCACAGAGGACGAGTACATCGCCAATATTCGGTCGGCACAAGTGTTTACCGAGAATGAACGGATTCTCAGTAGCTCATCGATGGACAAGGGTGTCTTCGATGAGAAGGCCCGGACTGAGTGATACACGTCTCAACCTTGGGATTTTTTTGAAGACAAATCCTTTGTATAAGGATTTGGTGGAATTCAGGGATGTTTTCCCTGAAATCGTACCATGCGAGTTGCCTGAAGACAAAGGCACTCAGTATGAAATCGAACAGAAACCCGGTTAGAAGTACTGTGTCATGAAGCAGTGGCAACTGCCTCGTGAACGGGTCACAGCGATCGACAAATTCTGTGCCGATCGTTTAACGGCTGGTCATATGAGGGAATCAACATCCTCATACAGCTCTACGACATTCTGTGTGCGAAAGGCTACAGGAGGGTGGCGGATGGTTCACGGGTTCGACAAATAAATGCTGCAACGGTACCGGCTCAGACGTCGATACCAAAGAAAGAAGTCATCATTGATGGTATGACAAAAAGTACCATCTTTTCGTCCATGGATATGATGGATGGATATTATCAGATCCTCATGCGTGGAAAGTACATTTCGTAGACAGAAGTGAGCACCCCAGTGATATGCTCTGGGACGGGGGTAGTGATGCCACAGCGGCTAAGTAATCCCCCTGCAACGTTCAATAGATGTGTTCCGAATCTGTCGCGATCGGTGCGAGACTTCGCAACGAGTTACTTTGACGATGTCTTCTTCCATAGCCGGGCTGTGTATGGAAAGACGGACGTGGAGGTTCCACGTCACCACGTCTGGAAGGTTATTATACTTATGCGAGAGCATAAGTATAGAGTTGTTCGCGAACTTTAAGAAATGTATATTCTAAGGGAACGAAATACCACTTCTTGGCTGCATCGTGGGTAAAACAGCGTACGCCCTGATCCAAAAAAAGATCCAGGCGATTAGCGACTGGCCCGTGCCAGTCGACGTCAAGGGACTTCGAAAGTTCCTTGGCTTAGCGGCGTACTTGCACAAGTAATCGCGCAACTACGCGATGTGGCCGTTCATCTCTCTCGTCTGCTACAGAAAAACGAGAGGTGTTCACAGAGTACTGAGTGTCAGCACTCCTTCAAAGGTATCAAAAAAGCTTGATACAATCGCCTGTGTTGGCGATTGCAGATCAGGACAGACCATTTCATGTGATCTGTGACGCCATTGATTTTGCAATCGGCTGCGAATTAATTCAGTACGACTCAGACGGCGCTGAGCGCGTCGTCTGTTATCAATCGCGTGAGCTGCAAGCAGCTGAGCGTAATTACTCAGTGCATGACAAGGAACTCCTTGCGATGAAATACACACTGGATAAGGTTTGGTTACATCGCCAAGGAGATAGACCCTTCATCGTTTATACCGACCATGTGTCATTACGCACGGCCGTATACAGTCCATACCTCCTGCAACGAACGGCGAGATGGATGTCTTTCTTCGCATAGTACAACTTCTCCGTCGAGTACAAACCAGGATGACTTAATGTCGTCGCAGTTGGCCTTTCGCGTCGGCCCGATTTGGAGCCGACTGCTCAACACAACAGTAGGGGTGAACCCACCGTTGCAACGCTATCAGTGAGTGTTCCGTCGTCGAATCTGCTTAACGACGTGCGGAATACATACGCAAGAAATGAGTCTCTTCTGCGGTTAATTGATTACGTGTCTAATCCATGCAGTCAAGCTTTGAAAAGCTTGACTTCTCAATACCGCTCTTCAACCCAACGGTATTAGATTCGTGATGGACTGCTGTACTATACAGCAGTCAACGGCGACACACCCTGTGTCGTATTTCCCGCTCATGATGATTTGCGATTGCGCATCATGTATGAGTGTCACGATGCCCCAACAAGTGGGCATAGCGGTAGAGAAAAGACTTACCTCTCGGTAAGTTGTGACTTCTACTGGCCTGCCAGTATGAGTCTGCTCGCAAATACATTCGCGCTTGAGAAGTTTGCCAACGGGTGAAGCCTAGTCCTTCATCCCGTTCGCTCTTGCAGCCTCTACCGATTCCGGCAGAGTGCTGGCAGTCCGTATCGATGGACTTCGTCTTTGGGTTTCTTAAAGACGCTCAAAAGAATACTGGTATTCGCGTATTTGTTGATCGGTTCATCAAGATGGTACATCTTGTTGCTGTACCGAAGCCAATCACAGCCCAGGCCTGTGCTCGTGTCTTCGTCGATACTTTCTTCCGACCTCACGGGTTAATCCGTGAACTCGTGTCTGATAGGGACCCCCGCTTCACAGCGGAGTTCTGGCAATCCGTGTTCCGTTCACTTGGAACACATTTTAGGAAGTCGACTTCTGACCATCCAGAAACAGATGGTCAGACGGAACGCGTCAACCGCGTCCTCGAAGAGACACTTCGAGGTACGTCCACTCGTTTACGAGTTGGAGTGATTTCTTGCCGATGGCGGAATTCGCCATCAACAACTCGGTGCATGCGCCGACAACGCATGCACCGTTCTTCGTGAATGGCCTACGCCATCCACGTTTACCCGCCTTCTTAGAGCGTGACTCTAGTTTAAGGGGGTGTGGACTAGCTCGAACAAAAACCTATCTGGTTCTTTCTCATCACCCGTCGACAATGGTGTCGACGTGATGGATGCCGATGTCGACTACATCGACACCGATGATGATGATGAAGACGATGCTGGTATATTCAGCATCGCCAATAACTGCTACAGTGAGGAAGATGACACCCTTACTGGTGAAGACAAAGTTTTATCAGTAGTGCACACGAAGTGCACTGCTGTTAACAAGGATGAATCAGCAGAGGAATTTCTGCTGGCTCGCGAAGCGGTTGTCCGCTTTGTTCAAGACTCGATTGCAGATGCAATAGACAAGCAGAAAAGAAATGCAAACAAAAATAGAAGAGCAAATGTGCTTTCATTTGATGAAGGAGATTTAGTTTTACTGTCTAGAGTAAATCTAACACAACACGCAGTGACAAAAGTGGGCAGCAGGAAATTACTGCCCAAGTTTATCGGTCCATTTCGTGTGTTGCGCTGAATGGACAACGCATACACGATTGGACTGCCGCATAGGATGCGTACGCATCCTACTTTTTGCGTTGGACATCTCCGCCCGTACTATCAGTACGAGACCGTTTCGAGAGGCGAAGAACAACTCCACGGTCGAGGGCCGAGACCATCTCCGAGTGGTCCCGTTTCAACGAGCCAGTCTGGTCGACTAGCGAAGCGACCTGCTGACGCAGTTGAGCGATGTCTCAACGAACTGCAGCCAGTTCGTCACGAAGAGAACGAATCGAACGTTCGTTCTCAAGTTGTGCAAACGCAAACGCGGCACTATCATTCGAACGATCTTGCGCTAAGGAATTGTAATTGTTCTTTACAGTATCATCGAGCTCATAACGCCGAGCCCGTTCATGAGTCAGGTCATCGTGTAACTGTTCTGTTACACGGTTCAGTTTTGAACATCAAGCTGATCTGACCCTCGAGCCGGATCAGGTGCTCCCGCCACCACACATCCTTTGGTGTATTCTGGCGGTGCTCAGCGCTTTCTGGTGGAGCATATTCTGAACCACCGCGACGTGAATGGCGTCCGGACGAGCTACCTCGTCCGCTGGCGTGGCTATCCGCCGACATGGGACAGCTGGGAGCCTAGCGCCCAGATGACCGCTGATGTTCCGGGTCTCGTCTAGCAATATGACGAGACCCACCGCTGCGTTCGAAGAGGGGCCGTCGGAAAAAGACCCCCCCAAACGCGAGTACAGGGATTTCAAAGTGTCAATCCCTTCTGCTATCTCAGAAGAGATGCGCGCCCTCCAGTAGGGAACATTAGGGAGGTGGGCCTCTTTAGGGGCACGATTCGAGTTGCCCATGCAACTTGGACACGAATCACCCCACGAGAGACAGGGCAATCCTGCCTCTCTCGACATCCGGTGCAACTTGTATTGTACACCGAATGGGTTACGCTTCTCAAACCTGATGCGAGCTGCATCAAGTTTACCTAGCCAGGCCTCGCGGCCAATGCACTCGATGTGATGGATGAAGGCATTCAACCCTTGCACCAAGGCCTTACCTAGGCTCACGCAGGTGCTCCGTCTTGACGACTTTCGCTAATTCTGCAGACCCGCTTTCAGCCCCTTGCGGTCTCTAGAAGCGTGGACGATGGCGGATGTTGCACTCAGTTGCTGCCCGAAAGCGTATGTCAGTGACAGATTGATCTGGACTAAGCGGTTTACGTCACTGTCTCGACCACGGTTGCCGTTGTACCACCGATGATTGAAAATGCATCGATGAAGAAATCTTCCTCAGCACAGATAGTTTCCGTGCTGGAACTAGGTGGACAATTCCTCCTACAGCCGAGAAACGGGATTCGATCCCGATCGGTAGTCATGCCGGCCACTCGATCTAACTCTTTGAATGACGGCATCCAAGGAGACTCCACTTGAGGAGCGTGGCGCAGGACGTTTCGGTCCCTGGCCTCTTGAGTGGTTTCAGCATGAGCACTGACACCAGCGGCAGCTCGATCTCTCGAGTTGCCTTTCTCGCGGTGATACATAGGGACATCACCACCATCACCACGCGTCCTATCATCGGATGGACTTGCGTGAGGTGAGGATTCGTCAGAGGAATCGCTCGGTCCGAAGATCTCGGACATGATGCTGCCACGTTCATCAGAGCCAGCCAACCTGGCTTTTGCAGTGTCCGCACCGGATGATCCGGAGGCTTGAGGTGTCATCTTCGAGTCGGATGCACCATCCGACTCGCCAGAATACATGAGCTCTATTTCAGGCCCATCTACATTGCGAGCCGCAGTACCCGCTGCAGACGCAGAAGATGTATTTGTCGCACGTGGTGACTCACCACGTGGACTGTTCACAACAGACACCGCCTGTTGCTGGATCGCAACAGCAGATGAAGGATCACCTGCTGCTAAAGCAAGAGAAGGACCCTCTTTGGCTGCACGTATGCGTGCGACTGCCTTTCCGGCTGCTTCGACAGCGCACCGCATGGACTTTGACACCATGCGATGAATTGGCAAATGAGTTGTAATTTTACCAACTAGTGCCCCCCCCCTTCCCGGAGTGATCTAACAGTGGTCACCCTGTCCCAATCAATTAAATGCAATCAATGGGTGGTTGATAGTTAAAAGGGGGGGTAGCCCGTTACATGATATTGACACCAAACGATGTCAATAGGGAGATTGTCTCGCGTGACAATTCACTGCCAATATAATCCGAGATGGATAATATTGAAGCGATATTATCCCCTTTGTAGGATAGTATTGATGCGCTGCTCAAAGATTGGTTGATAAAGACGTATCAACCAAGGTTACCACCAATCGCTGCTAGACGCTCGCAGTGAGTGGTGAGCAGGTTGTCGTCATACGACAATGTAGATTACTATAGTTAGATAAAGACTGAAGTTATGTTGATAGCTTAGCTATAGTAAACACATTTCTCTTTTTACCTTTACTCAAACTAGCTGTTAGGGTAGACTAGCTTCCTCTGCACGCACTAGTGTACGTGAAGTTTTGTGGGAACATAAACAAAGGGTGCCCCGTTACGCCTGATAGTACTTTGTAGTCCGTCCAACGACTACTTGGTGACCATCCAACTTGAACATGTTGACCTTGGAGACGACAGCTTTCGCGTCACACGTGAAGGCCGCTCCCATCTGAGTGACTCAGAATGAGGGATAGTCGGTGCATGTGTACGGGGCACCCTTTGTTTATGTTCCCACGAAACTTCACGTACACTGGTACGTTCAGAGGAAGCTAATCTACTTAAACGGCTAGTTTGAGTAAAGGGTGAACATAGAACTGTGTTTACTATAGCTAAGCTATCAACATAACTTCAGTCTTTATCTAACTATAGTAATCTACATTGTCGTATGACGACAACCTGCTCACCACTCACTGCGAGCGTCTAGCAGCGATTGGTGGTAACCTTGGTTGATACGTCTTTATCAACCAATCTTTGAGCAGCGCATCAATACTATTCTACAAAGGGGATAATATCCCTACAATATTATCCATCTCGGATAATATTGGCAGTGAATTGTCACGCGAGACAATCTCCCTATTGACACCGTTTGGTGTCAATATCATGAACTGGCTACATCGTTAAAGTCTTGACCGTCGAGTCTTCTCAAAATGTGATGGGCACTCGGTGTTAGGTGCCTAATGGCAGATACAAACGGTATTGTTTCGATTTGGTCCCCTTCGTCGTGTCATCAAACAGCGTGTTTGGATCAAGCAAATCGTATCGAACACATGTTGACGTTGAAGCGATGCGTAGTCTTCGCAATCTACAAATGCTGACCATTCCTGTACGTGATATGAAAGCAAGCCAGTAGAGGTGTCGTCCAAAACGTTGCACGTCCGGACGAAGTTGTATCAATGCAAGAGCGCCTTCCCATATCTCGCGATAGGGGTTTCACCGTCTAATCTGGTCTGGCTGAACACACTGCCACCCATAGCGAAGTGAATCTGCCTCAACAAAACATTCAGACGAAGAGGTTGTTGGTACGCCGCATGTCCGTGTCGTACCATTCTCTCAGACAAAGCGCGTGGTCCAATGACCCCATTTGTTTCTCCAGTACGGGTATCGCTCGCCAGACTAAGACCGAAAGTCAGTCATCGATGCAGTGATTTGATCCTCGATGAACAGCAAGTAGATCAGATGGCAGTGCATAGATGGGATGAACTCCTTCCACGACTCTGGTTATGTAGCATGTCCGCATCTCCATGATTTTGATACAAGACAAATGACCAGCGTCCACCCGTGTACATCTTCGGTCTCATTTCTTAAACCGAGTCATGCGCCTCACCGATTTATCGCTCGCGTTCGCACTGGCATCGATCCCTGCGTCTGCCTTCTTCTCCCCGCCAGCCTCGTCTTCCAAGGACGACTCCAATACAACGAGTGGTGCTGCTGACTTATCCGATGGAAAAGACATCGAGCCCCGGCAGCCTCTGCTGGACGCCAAGGACTGGTTCCTCACGAAAGAAGAGCTCACGGGTTCCCGTGGCGGTATCCCACGAGACGATATGTCGGTGTACACAACGGGCAACAAGGTGACATCCTACACAGTGACCAACGAAGTCTACAATGCAGTGTTCGACGAGCTCAGTGCGACGACAGTGGGCGATCGAGTGCTGCTGGCTGCATGGTCTCTGGCTCTTGTGCCACTTAAACCTGACGTTGACCCAAAGGGCAATACAACAGGTATCAAAGAAGTGTTTGCCGGAGTGGTCAAGCGAGGTGGGAGTGTCAATATCCTCAATTGGGCCACCATCGCCTCTCGATACACTTCGTACAACCTCAAGGCGCGCGACGCGATTAACAGCATTCCACCGTCTCCGATCAACGGTGCGAAAGCAGTGCTCATCTTTGACGATCGCTATCCCAGACCTTTCATGTCCCATCACCAGAAGAACATGGTCATTGCAGTGAACAGCTCCACGGACCCGGACGAACAGCCAGTAGCTTATGTGGGTGGAGTGGAATTCACCAACGACCGATGGGACACAATCTCCCACAACAACTCTGAGATTCGCGAAGCTGCGAAACTAAACCATCTCAGTGAGGGATGGGTAGACGGACACCTTCGAATCCATGGCCCTGCCGCCAAGGACGTGGCGAACAACTTTGTGGCCCGGTGGAATTCGGACTATCTACCATGTGACCATATTGACGACCGTCTTCGAGATTTCAGAAACCCCAAGTACGAGCATATCTTTCCGCTCGACTACGTTAGTAGCAATACCACGGGCTCTCTGGGCAGCAAAAGCGTTCAGATCACACGAACCTATAGCTGTTTCTACGAACATTACGAATTTGCTCCAAGGGGTGAGACATCATTGTTTTGGGCCCGTATCAAAGCCATCAAGAATGCCAAGAACTTTATCTACGTAGAAGACCAGTACTTCATTTTGGTACCGGAGCTTCTTGATGCTATCATGCAGGTGATGCCAACCATTCAGCGTCTGGTCGTGATCACAAGTCCACAAGCTAGTTTTATGGACTACGCGGGGTACTCCAAGTACCTGTACAAGAGCGTCGAACCCATCCGCTCAAAATATCCGAACAAGTTCACGATTTACACTACGAAGGCAAAGCGAAACATTGCGATTCACTCGAAACTTGTGATCATCGATGACGTGTACCTTTCCATCGGTTCAGCGAACTGGAATCGCCGGAGCATGACTTCAGACTCAGAGGTCAACGCGAACGTTGTGGACACTGACACGGTGATGGCTCCAGAAGGGGTTTATGTCGGCAAGATGCCACGTGACTTTCGTATTCGCAAGTTCCACGAAATGACCGGTCTGAGCTACGAGAAATTGGACGCCATGACGTTTGTTGAGGCCTCCGATCAATTGGCTTTCGCTGTTGCCAATGTATCTTCGATCTTGGACATCAATAAAATCGTGCACAAGGCGTTCTTCTTTACAATCACGGATAAAATGCGGAAGATGTCGGACCCGCAGGACACGTGCAAGTACAACGGCGACAAAAAAGTATTTGAAAGGGTGACAGAATGAGCTTTGTGGAGTTGTACAGCCATTATTGGTGGGGGACGGGGTGGACAAGGAACAACGGTGTCGCGTATGAAATGGTGACGGTGCTGGTGCGTGGGATATGCAACAGAGCGCAAACCTATGGAGCGAAAGGGACCGACACTAAGGATAACATGGCGCAAGTTATCGGGAACGCCTGGCAAGTGACACGATATATCTACTTCGAAAGCTTGTGCTCAATGAGTAGGAGACAAAGCATTCCTTATGCAACAATGTGGCGCCTTTGCCTGATTACCAACGAGTCTTCGACCACGGCGTCATTGTATTGCTCTCTGCTTGCTTTCAGTCATGGCGATGTCTTGAGGATATTCTGATCAAGTCTAAGAAACAAGCGTTCCCGTGTTGCCGACTTTCAGCCACTGTCTGACACCAACCCTCGCGATCATAAAGCTACAGCCTTTGAGGAGATTGTTGTGACTCGGATTACACCTGGATGGTCTTCGACACTGGAACCCACGAGAAGCTATAGAAAGGCACGCTACGAATACCGAGCGTTCACTCGGACATAAAAAAAAAAAAAAAAAAAAAAAAAATATGACATGGGTTGTCTATCGATATGACCTGCGAGACCATCCTTGGATTGCGCCAGACGAAAGAAGATTGCGCCAGACTGGATATGATGACACCAGACTAGCCTACCAAGTTTAACACTCCTCCTCAATATATTCATTCTCCATTTCACTACATTAGACTCGAGCCCCTCTGCAAGCCACGGGCCGGGTTTGTCATTTTGATATATCAAATTTGGCTAACTTAGTCACATCTCATCCCGTACGAGAATCCCGTCGCCATCATCATGGGACGGAATGAGGATGAATACGTCACTTACACCATCGTGACGTGCCAAGAAAGTGCGACTTCACCAGCTGACGTCGCCACAATGAAGATAAAGCGCTTTCGCGGTGGTTCATCGAAGGACTGGCTCACATGGAGCATGCAGTTTCGAAGCCTCGCGAAACGAAAAGGCTGGAGAGCTGACCAACTATCCGTTCAACTTCTTACGCTGATTGACGGTGATCTGTTGCGCGAAGTAGAGCGCATTGCCAGCGATGCTTCCAGCAAAGGCCTGACATTTGAAGACTTTTACCGGGAGGTTGGACTTCTTCTGGTCCCAGCGGATTACTGTGAAGACCTGGATGAAGAACTATGGACACTCACCAAGCGCAGAGAAGAGACGGTACAACGCTGCGCGGCACGGCTAAGACAGCTTGCACAGATGTACGCCGAGTTGCCCCAGGATTCGCAAACCATCTCAGAGCTTCAACAATGTCGATATTTTCGCCGCGCCATGCCGCCGCACTGGCAGGACAAGCTCGCGTGCTGCGGAATTTCGTATGAGACGGTGAACGAACTGGCGATGTATTTCGAGCGCCTCGAAAGGCGCGAGAGGCAGACTGGCCGGGATCGCCTAAATGGTCCAGCTACCCAGGGTGGTGAAAGGGTCAAGGTCGACGCGACCAACAACGCCCTACCGCTGACCAGCGCAGAGATCGGCGCAACCCTCGCGAGCATCGCGACACGCGTCAAGATCATCGAGACCGACCTGGTGTACAAGGCGGCAAGAAGAAGCATGACCGTCACCAAGAACACGGCAAGTGGTGTTCATTCCACAAATCAAGCTCGCACGATTCCAGCGAATGCTTTGCCCTCAAGAAGCAACGCGAAGAGCACAAGCCTGCCGAGACGAAACGAACTGCTCACAAAAAGAGTAATTACCCAAGATTCGAAGAGGAAGAGGCAAGCGACAGTGACAGCGACAGCGAGCTTAAGCTTGTCGGCCTTGTCAAGAAGAAGCAACCGAGCGCCAAGCTCGCCCCACTCCGGATCCCGGTACAATTCAAAGACGCGAGTGGCACCTTCAATGCCCTGCTAGACAGTGGTGCTTCGCGGAGCATAATCAACCAAGAAACTATGCGAGCCAATGCTCAGCTTGGGCATAGACAAGTCGAGTCGGCGACAAAGTTTCAGACGGTCAACGGAGAAGTCGCTAGTGCTGGTAGTACGATTGTACAGTTCCGCTTTCCGTCTCTCCAGCCTTCGACCATAATCACGCACAAGTTCGAAATTCTGGATCAGAGCCAGGATGCCATGGTGATCGGTCGTGATATCCTGAATGAACTAGGAATCGTGCTCAATTTTAAAGACAAACTGGTTCAGTGGGATGGTCACGATACACATTTAAACACCGGCGGGTCATCGTCTCCCAACGCAAGTGATTATGAATTCCCCGAAGAGAGCAAAGAAGTCGATAACACTGCAGTGCGACCAGAAGACCTCATGCCAGACAGGCTATCCAAGCCACTCGTCGGCAAATATCTCCAGCTTCTTCGCGATAACGAGCATCTCTATGACGGTCACTTGGGGAGGATGAGATTCGAAGACTACGCTCTACCAATAGTGCCGGAGTACAAGCCTGTACACGCAAAACCTTATCCAGTCCCAAGAAGCCTCGAAAACAAGGCTCGAGAGCTCATCCAGCATTTGGTCAGCATCGACGTGCTGGAGCAGATTTTTGATTCAGAAATGGCATCGCCTGCTTTTTTTCTCAAGAAGCCCAACGGATCACTTCGTCTACTGATAGATTTTCGCGGACTCAACCGATATCTGAAACGCAGCCCTTATTACGTCCCACGTATACGCGAGATCCTGTTGCGTCTCGCAGGAGCCAAGTATCTGTCAACATTCGATGCTAATATGGGGTATTACGCGCGTCGCCTTGCTGTATGACATGGGTTGTCTATCGATATGACCTGCGAGACCATCCTTGGATTGCGCCAGACGAAAGAAGATTGCGCCAGACGAAAGAAGATTGCGCCAGACTGGATATGATGACACCAGACTAGCCTACCAAGTTTAACACTCCTCCTCAATATATTCATTCTCCATTTCACTACATTAGACTCGAGCCCCTCTGCAAGCCACGGACCGGGTTTGTCATTTTGATATATCAAATTTGGCTAACTTAGTCACATCTCATCCCGTACGAGAATCCCGTCGCCATCATCATGGGACGGAATGAGGATGAATACGTCACTTACACCATCGTGACGTGCCAAGAAAGTGCGACTTCACCAGCTGACGTCGCCACAATGAAGATAAAGCGCTTTCGCGGTGGTTCATCGAAGGACTGGCTCACATGGAGCATGCAGTTTCGAAGCCTCGCGAAACGAAAAGGCTGGAGAGCTGACCAACTATCCGTTCAACTTCTTACGCTGATTGACGGTGATCTGTTGCGCGAAGTAGAGCGCATTGCCAGCGATGCTTCCAGCAAAGGCCTGACATTTGAAGACTTTTACCGGGAGGTTGGACTTCTTCTGGTCCCAGCGGATTACTGTGAAGACCTGGATGAAGAACTATGGACACTCACCAAGCGCAGAGAAGAGACGGTACAACGCTGCGCGGCACGGCTAAGACAGCTTGCACAGATGTACGCCGAGTTGCCCCAGGATTCGCAAACCATCTCAGAGCTTCAACAATGTCGATATTTTCGCCGCGCCATGCCGCCGCACTGGCAGGACAAGCTCGCGTGCTGCGGAATTTCGTATGAGACGGTGAACGAACTGGCGATGTATTTCGAGCGCCTCGAAAGGCGCGAGAGGCAGACTGGCCGGGATCGCCTAAATGGTCCAGCTACCCAGGGTGGTGAAAAGGGTCAAGGTCGACGCGACCAACAACGCCCTACCGCTGACCAGCGCAGAGATCGGCGCAACCCTCGCGAGCATCGCGACACGCGTCAAGATCATCGAGACCGACCTGGTGTACAAGGCGGCAAGAAGAAGCATGACCGTCACCAAGAACACGGCAAGTGGTGTTCATTCCACAAATCAAGCTCGCACGATTCCAGCGAATGCTTTGCCCTCAAGAAGCAACGCGAAGAGCACAAGCCTGCCGAGACGAAACGAACTGCTCACAAAAAGAGTAATTACCCAAGATTCGAAGAGGAAGAGGCAAGCGACAGTGACAGCGACAGCGAGCTTAAGCTTGTCGGCCTTGTCAAGAAGAAGCAACCGAGCGCCAAGCTCGCCCCACTCCGGATCCCGGTACAATTCAAAGACGCGAGTGGCACCTTCAATGCCCTGCTAGACAGTGGTGCTTCGCGGAGCATAATCAACCAAGAAACTATGCGAGCCAATGCTCAGCTTGGGCATAGACAAGTCGAGTCGGCGACAAAGTTTCAGACGGTCAACGGAGAAGTCGCTAGTGCTGGTAGTACGATTGTACAGTTCCGCTTTCCGTCTCTCCAGCCTTCGACCATAATCACGCACAAGTTCGAAATTCTGGATCAGAGCCAGGATGCCATGGTGATCGGTCGTGATATCCTGAATGAACTAGGAATCGTGCTCAATTTTAAAGACAAACTGGTTCAGTGGGATGGTCACGATACACATTTAAACACCGGCGGGTCATCGTCTCCCAACGCAAGTGATTATGAATTCCCCGAAGAGAGCAAAGAAGTCGATAACACTGCAGTGCGACCAGAAGACCTCATGCCAGACAGGCTATCCAAGCCACTCGTCGGCAAATATCTCCAGCTTCTTCGCGATAACGAGCATCTCTATGACGGTCACTTGGGGAGGATGAGATTCGAAGACTACGCTCTACCAATAGTGCCGGAGTACAAGCCTGTACACGCAAAACCTTATCCAGTCCCAAGAAGCCTCGAAAACAAGGCTCGAGAGCTCATCCAGCATTTGGTCAGCATCGACGTGCTGGAGCAGATTTTTGATTCAGAAATGGCATCGCCTGCTTTTTTTCTCAAGAAGCCCAACGGATCACTTCGTCTACTGATAGATTTTCGCGGACTCAACCGATATCTGAAACGCAGCCCTTATTACGTCCCACGTATACGCGAGATCCTGTTGCGTCTCGCAGGAGCCAAGTATCTGTCAACATTCGATGCTAATATGGGGTATTACGCGCGTCGCCTTGCTGTATGACATGGGTTGTCTATCGATATGACCTGCGAGACCATCCTTGGATTGCGCCAGACGAAAGAAGATTGCGCCAGACGAAAGAAGATTGCGCCAGACTGGATATGATGACACCAGACTAGCCTACCAAGTTTAACACTCCTCCTCAATATATTCATTCTCCATTTCACTACATTAGACTCGAGCCCCTCTGCAAGCCACGGGCCGGGTTTGTCATTTTGATATATCAAATTTGGCTAACTTAGTCACATCTCATCCCGTACGAGAATCCCGTCGCCATCATCATGGGACGGAATGAGGATGAATACGTCACTTACACCATCGTGACGTGCCAAGAAAGTGCGACTTCACCAGCTGACGTCGCCACAATGAAGATAAAGCGCTTTCGCGGTGGTTCATCGAAGGACTGGCTCACATGGAGCATGCAGTTTCGAAGCCTCGCGAAACGAAAAGGCTGGAGAGCTGACCAACTATCCGTTCAACTTCTTACGCTGATTGACGGTGATCTGTTGCGCGAAGTAGAGCGCATTGCCAGCGATGCTTCCAGCAAAGGCCTGACATTTGAAGACTTTTACCGGGAGGTTGGACTTCTTCTGGTCCCAGCGGATTACTGTGAAGACCTGGATGAAGAACTATGGACACTCACCAAGCGCAGAGAAGAGACGGTACAACGCTGCGCGGCACGGCTAAGACAGCTTGCACAGATGTACGCCGAGTTGCCCCAGGATTCGCAAACCATCTCAGAGCTTCAACAATGTCGATATTTTCGCCGCGCCATGCCGCCGCACTGGCAGGACAAGCTCGCGTGCTGCGGAATTTCGTATGAGACGGTGAACGAACTGGCGATGTATTTCGAGCGCCTCGAAAGGCGCGAGAGGCAGACTGGCCGGGATCGCCTAAATGGTCCAGCTACCCAGGGTGGTGAAAAGGGTCAAGGTCGACGCGACCAACAACGCCCTACCGCTGACCAGCGCAGAGATCGGCGCAACCCTCGCGAGCATCGCGACACGCGTCAAGATCATCGAGACCGACCTGGTGTACAAGGCGGCAAGAAGAAGCATGACCGTCACCAAGAACACGGCAAGTGGTGTTCATTCCACAAATCAAGCTCGCACGATTCCAGCGAATGCTTTGCCCTCAAGAAGCAACGCGAAGAGCACAAGCCTGCCGAGACGAAACGAACTGCTCACAAAAAGAGTAATTACCCAAGATTCGAAGAGGAAGAGGCAAGCGACAGTGACAGCGACAGCGAGCTTAAGCTTGTCGGCCTTGTCAAGAAGAAGCAACCGAGCGCCAAGCTCGCCCCACTCCGGATCCCGGTACAATTCAAAGACGCGAGTGGCACCTTCAATGCCCTGCTAGACAGTGGTGCTTCGCGGAGCATAATCAACCAAGAAACTATGCGAGCCAATGCTCAGCTTGGGCATAGACAAGTCGAGTCGGCGACAAAGTTTCAGACGGTCAACGGAGAAGTCGCTAGTGCTGGTAGTACGATTGTACAGTTCCGCTTTCCGTCTCTCCAGCCTTCGACCATAATCACGCACAAGTTCGAAATTCTGGATCAGAGCCAGGATGCCATGGTGATCGGTCGTGATATCCTGAATGAACTAGGAATCGTGCTCAATTTTAAAGACAAACTGGTTCAGTGGGATGGTCACGATACACATTTAAACACCGGCGGGTCATCGTCTCCCAACGCAAGTGATTATGAATTCCCCGAAGAGAGCAAAGAAGTCGATAACACTGCAGTGCGACCAGAAGACCTCATGCCAGACAGGCTATCCAAGCCACTCGTCGGCAAATATCTCCAGCTTCTTCGCGATAACGAGCATCTCTATGACGGTCACTTGGGGAGGATGAGATTCGAAGACTACGCTCTACCAATAGTGCCGGAGTACAAGCCTGTACACGCAAAACCTTATCCAGTCCCAAGAAGCCTCGAAAACAAGGCTCGAGAGCTCATCCAGCATTTGGTCAGCATCGACGTGCTGGAGCAGATTTTTGATTCAGAAATGGCATCGCCTGCTTTTTTTCTCAAGAAGCCCAACGGATCACTTCGTCTACTGATAGATTTTCGCGGACTCAACCGATATCTGAAACGCAGCCCTTATTACGTCCCACGTATACGCGAGATCCTGTTGCGTCTCGCAGGAGCCAAGTATCTGTCAACATTCGATGCTAATATGGGGTATTACGCGCGTCGCCTTGCTGCCTCAAGCCGTGGTCACACAGCTTTCTGTCTTCCGTTCGGGAAGTATCAATACAAACGACTCCCAATGGGCATTTCTACAGCACCGGACGAATACCAAGCCTGCATGGAGAAGATTTTTGGCGATCTGGCTTTTGTCGTAGTCTATTTGGATGATATACTCGTCTACTCCGATAGTGAAGAGACGCACCTAGAGCACCTACACATTGTGTTCAAGCGACTAACCAAGTATGGGGTAACTCTCAACGGAAAGAAGTGCCACATCCTCAGACAGTCCGTCGACTATCTCGGCTTTACGCTGACATCTCAAGGGATCCAGCCCCAACAAAAGAAGATTCAAGCCATCCAACAAATTTCCGTCCCCAAAACCAGGAAGGAACTACGCCGCTTCCTCGGAATGATTAATTACTATAGAGATATGGTACCCAACAAGACGGCATTGTGCCAACCTCTCAACCGATTCACCAGCTCCAAAGTCCCGTTCGACTGGTTGTCTAGCGACACGGAAGCATTTCACGCTATCCAGAAAGCGTTTGCCCAAGCCGTACTGCTCGCGTTTCCTGACTTTGAGCAACCATTTCACGTCTACGCCGATGCCAGCGGAAAGCAAATCGGTGGCATCATTATGCAGAAGAACCAGATTCTCGCCTGCTATTCCCGAAGTCTCAACAAGCATCAAGTGAATTACACAACGATGGAGCTTGAGCTCCTCTCTATCGTTGAAATGCTGCGCGAATACCGCACCATGCTGCTCGGGTTCCCTGTGGTTGTTCACACCGACCATAAGAACCTAATTTATCCGACCGAAACCAGCCTGCGCGTTAAGCGCTGGAAGCTCCTGTTGGCTGAGTACAGGCTATCGATGCATTACATCAAGGGAACCAAGAATGTTGGTGCTGATGCGTTTTCCCGGATGAGATTCGATGCGATGAACACGAAGACTCATTTGCAGCTCGCGGACGAGATATGCGCTACCGCTGATGAACCAGATTGTGTCATGCATGGTCCGGTTCTTCGCGAACATCAAGATAAGGACTTGATGATTCAAAAAATCAAGACAGCTTGCCTCAACGGCAACAACAATCCTGACTATCAGCTTCTACCTCTACTCGGCTGCACGCTGGTCGCGTACCAAAAGCGCGTCATCGTGCCCGATAGCTTGCGAGAAGATCTCATTCGTTGGTATCATTTAACGCTCAGTCACCCTGGCGGTGAACGACAGTACAAGACAATGAGGCAGGTTCTCTACTGGCCCGGAATGGAAGCCGCGATCATCAAGAATGCGAAAGATTGTCTAATTTGCAAGAAGGCAAAGGTCCACGGAGGCAAGCAGGACTATGGATTACTACCACCACGAACACTCAAGACGGTGAACCCCTTTGACACCGTTCATGTCGATCTCATTGGTCCCTACGAAGACGGACACTACGGTATTACCATGATTGACCATGCGACGCGTTGGCTGGAAGTGGGTATTCAGCACGACAAAACTTCGCTGACCACAGCCGAAAGCTTCGATCGTGAATGGCTGTGCCGCTACCCGCGTCCTGTAACGGTTATACACGACCTAGGAACGGAATTCACTGGTGATGAGTTTCAAGAATTGCTCCGCAGCTACGGGATACAAGCCAAGCCTATAACAAGCAAGAACCCTCAAGCTAACGCTATTTGTGAACGCGTTCACCTCGAGATTTTAAATGTCATCAGGTGCCACGATGGCACTGACTGGAAGAAAACCATTCACTACGCTGCATTCGCCGTGCGAGCAAGCTACCACAGCATTCTTAATGCTTCCCCAGGTCAACTACTCTTCGGTCAAGATATGATCACTCGTCAGCTTTATAACGCCAACTGGAGCTATCTATCGAAGCGTCGTTTTGATGCAATTCTCGCCGACAATGACCGCGAGAATAGCAAACGCCTCGAGCATTTCTACAATACGGGAGACCACGTGATGTTACGCGTCCCCAAGAAGTTCCGTGCAAAATTGCACGCAGTGGCAACCGGACCTTTTGTTATCCGCCAAGTTCACAGCAACGGCACTGTGACCATCGACAAGGGAGCAATGGCAGAACGTGTGAGCATCCGCCGCATTTTTCCGTGCTAAATCTCACAGATCATGGGGGGAGTATGACATGGGTTGTCTATCGATATGACCTGCGAGACCATCCTTGGATTGCGCCAGACGAAAGAAGATTGCGCCAGACGAAAGAAGATTGCGCCAGACTGGATATGATGACACCAGACTAGCCTACCAAGTTTAACACTCCTCCTCAATATATTCATTCTCCATTTCACTACATTAGACTCGAGCCCCTCTGCAAGCCACGGGCCGGGTTTGTCACCGACACTAAGGATAACATGGCGCAAGTTATCGGGAACGCCTGGCAAGTGACACGATATATCTACTTCGAAAGCTTGTGCTCAATGAGTAGGAGACAAAGCATTCCTTATGCAACAATGTGGCGCCTTTGCCTGATTACCAACGAGTCTTCGACCACGGCGTCATTGTATTGCTCTCTGCTTGCTTTCAGTCATGGCGATGTCTTGAGGATATTCTGATCAAGTCTAAGAAACAAGCGTTCCCGTGTTGCCGACTTTCAGCCACTGTCTGACACCAACCCTCGCGATCATAAAGCTACAGCCTTTGAGGAGATTGTTGTGACTCGGATTACACCTGGATGGTCTTCGACACTGGAACCCACGAGAAGCTATAGAAAGGCACGCTACGAATACCGAGCGTTCACTCGGACATCGCTCTTTCAAATGCTAGCACGGACGCTTACAAGAACCTCACTGCTGCCCAGCCTCACTCTTCTTATCAACAAAGGACGCCACTGCCGTTTGTATAATTACCTCCAGCCGTCCGGCGCAGTTGATGCATGGCGGTTTTGTATATATCACGATGGCCTTAGACAGCTGCAGACGTATCGACAACGTCAATACAGTACTCTGGTTTATACCTACTATCTGTCACGGAAGCCGCAAGCACCTGTCGCGACAGCTACGACAGAAGTACCCGGTAGAATGGGATACACTCGATAAGTTTGTCGTCAACACAATAACGTCGGATCCCCATTTCGTAGCTCTTGTTCCGCTAAAAATATCGGATAGCGCCACCTTTCACAAGCCATTTGCGCAAAGCATTATGGCGTACGAGCAAAACACCAGGATTGGTCGGGTGCATCGACGGCCAAAGTGGTGGCCGACTGGATTTCGTCAGCAGGTCTGTGACCGCTTGCCTAAGAACAGGCTTCATAAACGTCTGACTGCGCTTTCCGAGGCCAACGATAATGCGGAGATCCTGTAGTGGTACGGTGCGCCCGAGTGGAGCGACGCCAATACTCTGCTGCAAACGCGTAATCTCGTCAAATGCAGACACGACGGCACACTTTGCTACACCGCGAGAGAACGTGTGCAAATCGATCTCAAACCCGTCTTTTAGTCTCCATGGAGTTTTCTGAATAACTCCTTCATCAAGCACACGCCTAAATGTGTCACGTGCTGCAGTAAACAGCCTGAATTCATCCAAAGTATCAATCAACGATGAAGCATGGTCGATTTTTCGAAGATCCACGGTGCGAATTTGCTCCAGCACGACAGTCAAGTCTTGCTTCATTTTGCGCTGTAAACTTCTTGAAGACCTTTTCATTCGTGTCGCATCATGCAGTTCTGCATTTTGTACTTGGTCAGACACAGGGACTTCATGCATCATATGAAGTGCTCGGACCGCAGCAGCGCAAGAAAGAGCATTGATCAAAGGCGCCTTCAAAGTGCTCTGGTCGCGCGTTTGGCTTACCACCATCGTGTCGAACAAATCCAGCACACCATTCCAATCGCCACGATTCTCCAATCGCTTCATACATGTCGCAAACGTAAAGTCGTCGGGAGTGGCAACCTGAGCTTCTTGCATACAGTCAAAAATCTTCGTTGCGACAGGTACATTCGTCCATATCATCTGTCTGTCTCCCTTGTTCTTTCTCCGTGACTTGGTGGCTTCATTGCGAACAGCAGCAAGCAAAAACTGGTTGAACAGCATCGTGCTAGCCTGTTCACGGATCCAACCGTCGTCAAGTTTACTGTAAATGTCCAGAACGCGCTGATGTTCGTCAACGCGCACAAGTGATTGACACATGGCCGTGAGCGTGACGACATCCGTCCAAAGGCTCGGGAACTTCCTCTCAACAAACGTCACCGTCGTCAACAACGTATCTGTCTGTCCAGCTTTTGCCAAGGTCAACATAAGCACTCGAAAAGCACGTATGGTCGGTGGGATCCCAAGCTTGTGCATCTGAGCAATAGCTTCGTGCGTACTGCGCCAATCTCCCTGCAACTTGAACACAGAGAGCAGTGGGTCATAGACACTGGCACGAGTCGATGTCGGTGTTGCCAACGATAAACACTCTTGACCAAACCGATCACGTAGCTCCGGCATCATAGCCAACGACCGCTCCGCTTGACCTTTGCGAGCCCAGGAACAGCAAATGCGCATGTGCGACTGGAACGGAGCCACGACACCGCGCTTTTGGGCTTCGTGGACCGCACTCAGAGCTTCTCGCGTCCGATCGTTTGCTGTGCACACGTGGACGACGCGCTCAACGTCAGTGGCGCATAAAGACGCACTCTCGTCATTGGCTTTGCGCTGGAATTCCGCCACGACTTGGCGCCAGTCTGAAGACGGAAGAGACTGCGAGGAAAACGAATGGGACGATTGGGGTACAAGCGCGGGTTGGTACTGCGGAGGCGTGGGCAGGAGGTGATGGGGGGCGCGTCGAACCTGCCGCAACATCGTCCGCGTCTTGTGGCACGGGCCAGCGGAGACCGTGGTCGGTTCTTGCTAGTCAGATTGCGGTCGATTGACGGATGGCTACATTTGGTTGAAAAGCACTGCTTTAAAAGAAGGAAAATGGATAGATGTTTTGGTGGGAGTGCGGATATTATCCTGGACTGGGTACGTCGCGGCACCACCAAGCTGACGTTTGGGTTGTGTGTCGAACCGGTACTCGATTCGGTATTTGAGAGGAGATCAAGGAGGACGGACGGATGGTGCGCAGCATGGAAACCTTTCGAAATACATACAAAAGCGGTGTCAGAGGCGAATAATCTGGACAAGCTATTGGAAAGGTGTGAAAAGTAGACGACAGCCGACGCAGCGAGCTTTCCAACTTTGAACTTTTAGTATCCATTCCCCATTTCGTTCTGCACATTGTACCAGTCTCATTAAACGTGTTGTCCTGCTCGCAGGTCAAGACATTGAAGCAAATTCCTCGCGATTCCGCTAATGTCACGGTTCGCGTTCGAATGCAGAATCCGCTGTTGCAATGTGGCGTGCATCATCACCGCGCCATCGATCTCTTTATTAGCGATACAGCGCACACGTCGAATTCCCCGACTGCTCGACTGCAGCTGTGTGCACCTCGCTGGAGGTGTGATGTGGCAATCTCTCTTCTCCTTTTCTACTGATCAGCTCAGGCTATCAACTTCAAAGGAACTGCAAAGCGGGAGCTTCTTCAGTATCCCGACGAGCAGAGAGCTGCTTAAAGTGCTTTGGAAGGGCAGCCTGTTGACGCGCAGTTGGTCGGTTTTCATATGATCGAAGCGTTGGTCATTGGATTCCGAATTACGACACAATACTTTCGGTGCTGTCCTATCGACAGCATCCAGACCTTCGTTTACCAGCACACAGACTCGAGCCTCATGTCAGCGCCACTTTGCTGCAACTTCGCAGTTGCACAAGACGTCAAGCATGCGAAACAAGGGGCTGCAACTATCGGTAAAGAAGCCGAGCAGTGAAATTTGCAATTTGCTCACGCGGTAAAGCAGCTTTTTGATCGATTAGCAGACGGCATTGATTTCTACGAGATCGAAACACATCTGAGTAAGCAGCTCTGGCGTGTGGTGCGTCGTTTGTCAGAGCTGCTGCGTGCACCTCGACAGTTGCTGATCAACCACATGAGTCGGAACGATTTACGCTTTGAGCCACGATGTGCAACATGCGAGAACGTCCTCGCTACAATCGTGGAAAACAGTTTTCCCTGGCGGCATGTCTGAAGCCTGCCTTTGTTTTGCAGCTCTTTTGGTGGAGTTTTTGAAGAACAGTTTATCCTGGAGAAAAAAGGCGCTTGCAAGAGTTTGTGGCCGTCACCTGTCTACTTACAATCCACAGTTTCGCCAGCATACTTACACAATGCCAGCGAAACATCGTGCACAACCAGTGTGGCCTCGCAATGACGGAAGAGTTTGGGGGTGAGCTGTACGCGACACCTGACATCCTTGATAAGTGTGAAACTGTTGACGACATGCCAGAGTTTGAAGAAGGCATTGTGTTTCGTAGCGGCGGCGACAAGAAGATATGTGCATCACTTGGGTTACAGCTCGACAAGCCAAAAAAGGAGGGCTTGACACGAGACGAACATTATGTAAAAAGCTGGCCAGGCTCGTTCATATTTGGAGCACAAGACGAACAACAGCGTCATCTAAGGGCCATTCTGCTGCATTTGTACAAAGCTGGCCTGCCCAAAGCTACGCAAAACTACTGAAAAGCTCGCGTAACGAAGCTAGTCTATCGTATCGAACTTTGTGCGATATGGCCTTGAATGATCCGGTGCCGTTTGCGCTAGAAGCAGGAACTGGCTCGACGTAAAACATCAGCGGCACGCTCCGAAGTTTCAGGTTTTTGTCACGGCTGAATTTGTTGCGCTTTCTCCACTCCGCATACGAGTCAGTGACTTCCACACGAAACATGCGCGCATTCTTTGGAGCATACGAGTAAAAGGCGAACTCAAGGGGTAACTCGGAGTACCGGCAGTACGGACACCATGGTCTTTTGTTGCTCTGGATTCGGCCTGAGACCATCATCAGAAATGTAGGAACCGGGTCGTCCTCCTGCACATACCTGGACATGGCATCCTGGTAGCCATCATAGCCTTTCACCGTGACGATTTGCTTGTTCTTGACGTCAGTGGAAGCAAAGAATGCCTCAGGCTGGCCTGTTTTCTTGAACAAATACCGGAGAAACGGCTTGTCGTACAACGACTTTTGCACGAGCATCCCTCCCGTCCTTCTGTCGCGTCCTTCCCACTTCATTATGCAAGGCACGCCCTTCACCCGCAAATCCAAGTCATCGTTAAAGTCATTGTGGCGTTTCCAGTACTTTTCCGAACCTGCAAAAACCGTCACGAGCCGATTGCTTCCTGGTGACTGTGAAAACACGTCGTACACGCGCTGCTTTCCCTGGACACACTCTTTTGACCAGTCACTTGCTTGAAAGTGCTCGTCGCTGCATGTGAAAAAGAGGAACAGCGGCTCGTCTGGATTGTACCGGTAGCTCTTCAAGAACTTCATCGTAGCTGCGTACCCAGAGACTGTCGCATACTTTGGAGTCGACGGAGCCAACGTGACCGCCAAAGCCTCGACCTTTGATGCAGCCGTGGCAGCAACCTGCTGTTCCATATTAGCCGAAATCGTAGGCTTGACTGCAGCTACCACCTTGGGTGCTTCTACCGGTTGGTCGTCCATCTCTTCCCTACTCTGCGTGCTCCCTTTCATCTCTCCATCAACCACTGCATGATCTAGCATTTGAGGTGGCTGCGTTACTGCCGCAAGTTCAGTTCCAGTCGCTACGAAAGCGACAGTCGAAGGTGTTGTCGTTGGACGACGCCCAACTTGAAGGATATCGACTTGGTGGTGCACGTGCCCCGCAACTCCCTGATATTCTTCTGATTGTTCTTCAACGTCCTCAACCACTGTATTACCGTTCAAGGGAATGCTCTTCATGCTGCTGATCTTGCGCAGATTTTTGAGCGGCTCAGTGGACACGAAGCCTTCCAGGCTCGAGATGTTTCCGAAGCCCCAATGAGCAAGGAAAACCAGGTACACGAGTAAAAAGGCAGTAGCAAGTAAGTACCATAAATGGATGCGCTTGATGCCCCGTTGGACTCGACGGCGTCGTTGACCATGATTTTGACCATACCGAGGTGATCCCATGCTTTGATTTGTTGCGATGTCAGCTAGTGGTTGGACTGGATGGATTTGTGAGGTTCTGCTACTTGGAAGTTACGTGTGCGGTGGGGTGTCACGTTATGGATGTGCAGGGAAAGTCTAGGCGAAACTTGACTGCTTACCCAGTCAAGTTCATAAATGGACATACTGTGTTGGAATTCCTACTACATTGACGGGTTCTTCCAGCCTTCGAAGACGCCGCGCAAATCGTCAGGACGATTAAAGTGATCGATGATGCGCTCATATGAGAACGCGTGGGCTTCAGTATCCAAAGATGCCCGATACATCCATGGCACGCCACGAATCATCAACCTCATGTCCTGCTTCCACTCGTTGGCAGGATCTCTCCACAAACCATACGAATCGACCGTCTCCACCCTGACGAGTCGCGACCGGTTTGGTGCAAACGCAAAGAACGCATACTCGACCGAGATTTCCGAGTAGCGGCAGTACGGACACCAGGGACGGTCGTTGGATTGCAATCGGCCGGCGACAAAGAAGAGAAACATTGGTCCAACCGGAGCGGTCAGCGATGAATTCCCTCCAGCTGCAATCGTGTCCATATACAACCTGTAGTTATTGTAGCCCTTGAGCACAACAATTTCCTTCGTAGCAATCTTCTCGGGTGTGACAAGAGAGTCGGTAACATCTTCGTTCTTGAAAAGGTAGCGCAAAAGCGGCTCGTATAACAAGTCTTCCTCAATGATCATGCCAGATGTAGCACGCTTTGCCCCCTTACCACCTCCATGCCACTGCATGATTGCAGGGATCATTTTTACTTTCAGATCACCGTCTTTAAAAAACGCATTCGGTGTTGACCAACTTTGCCTCGAACCGGCGTGAATCGTCAACAACCGATTCCGCGCTGGAGACGTGGCAAACACGTTGTACACCACCTTCGATGCGTCTACACACACGCGGCGCCACTCCGTCTGCCCACCTTGTTCGTCACCGCAGACAAAAAACAGGAAAAGCTGCTCGTTCGACCCTTCTGGCGTCGTATAATTGGCCAAGTATTTCATCGCTGCATCGTATCCAGAAACCACATCATGACGATTTGTAGAAAAATGAGGTGGTGCTTCTGTCGAACTTGGTCCAGGAGCTCTCAGCGGGTCCAAAGGAGCAGCTGTAGTGACAACCAATGACCCATGGGTCAAAACCGTGGCTGTCTCAAGCCGCGAGGGACCAAATAACCTCAAATTCGGCGGTTTTTTCACAGTTTCTAACGCCTCAATAGAAACGCGAGTGAACTCGGCGACTTGATCGGTCTGGGCGGGATCGGGATCCCTGGCCGTGCCAATGGCGTTCGTTCGCAGGTCCACGTGGTTCGCAGTCGACCACAGACGCAACTGGAACAAGAACATGAAGCACAGTGCACAAACCCCCAGTATCACTACGATCCAGTGACGTCGACGGACGCAATGATTGACATGGCGAGTACCTCCTCGAGGCATTTTGGGGACGGGCGGGACGCGTGGGTTCGTAGTTTTTGTCGTCCTTTGGCGCGGCGGGTTTAGAAATGACTCGACTGTTTTTAATCGACTTCTTCACTTTTTAAAGACACTTCAGACGAAATGCGGACCCACCATGTCGGACGTGATACACCCGACCCACCGGAGTGGAACAAGAACGGGTTTACAGGTGTTGTGTCCAGATACGTTTACGATGACCAGTCATCGTGCAAAGGCGGACTGCAACGTTTTGTCACTGTGGCATCTCCTTGATCCAGTCATTGCGAAATGTCCCGTGCGTACGGTCGCACATGGATGACCGGATGGTGACTTGGCGAACGTGTCATTCACCTTTCTGCATGCGACAGCACGAGTTCCGGTCAAGTTGTCACGATCGACGACAACTTCGCTATCATAGCGCGTGGTCAACAAGAACAGCCCCTCTCGTGTTTGTCTGCAGTCCTGAGCAGTGCTTGTTTGATATCATCGAGCGCAATGATAGGACTGCAGCTCTCTGTTCCTGTTCAGCTCGGTACTGCTGTACTATGATTCCAGTCTTCACTTCGGTCCCCTACTCACTCCTTCGTGTCGACATTTCCTACGCTTACGTTGAAACACTGAGCGCTTTTCGTGAGCCATCGTAGTTCTCTGGCAACAACCGGTAAGGCATGCTGAGTGGAAAATCTGTCAAACTGCGTGTTTACTCAGCTCTCCTTTTACCCTCTGCTTTCTTCTGTACTTGACAAAGTGCGCTCTTTCACCGTCTGAGACCTCTACTCGTTCACTTTTGAGCGGGCATGCTTCCTTTCAGATGAGGGCCAAATCTCCATTGCAGTGTCGCTTCGATCTACCGCTTCCTTCATGATATTGTCATCGTACATCGTCTGATCCCAGCCCTGATCGTAATCCTGCTCTTCGTATCCCACCTGAACCACGCACAGTATCACAAAGTAGCTCACAGAATGGAGACTCTGTAGATCACTAGAGTATCACTGGTTGCACTGACCACGCATTGCGACAAAACGTTTGCATGTCATCTCAAGTGGCCCACTGCTGAACACGTTTGCAACCTAACACGTTTGTTGCTTGTGCAATGTCCAGCTAGTCGACAGTCGATTTATTCTCCTTCGGGCCGCGCCGTTCGAGGTTCGTTCGTGAAGAACGTCTCCAACCGTTCCGTCTCCTTGTAGTCTGAAATGAATTCGTGCACCTGGACCTTATTGGCAAGGACATCCTTAGTGACAAAGCCTAGGAACGGCACTCCACGCATTGACGCCACCTTTGCCTGAAACTCGGGCGACTTAAACGGATTCGTCTCTTGCTTCCATTGTTCATACGTATCCGCCACTATCACCCGTACCATGACTGCATTATCCGGCGCTGTGTAGTTATAGTAATGCATGATAGCCACATCTGCCTGGTCGCAGTACGGGCACCAGAGTCGTCCATTGAACGCGTGGTAGCCCGAGATGAAGTACAGGAAAAGCGGGTAGCTGTTGTCATACAATTCCAGGTACTCTATCACGTCTATAGACGACGACATGGTCAGCACCTTGTTCGTGTTGGCCTCTCCTGCCAATGGTTGGTCCACCCTGAACGTATAGTCAAGCAACGCTGTGTCGGTGCAGAAAGACTCGGTAAGCATTGCAGACGAGTTCCCGCCTCCTTCGTAACGCATAAGCGTCGGGATGTGGTCTAGAAAGAAGAGTTCGTTCTGTCGAAAGTCATTCATCGAGTCTTTCCAATAGGCAGGAGGACCGACGCGGATCTCGACGAGCGTTGAACCTTGCGGTGAGCGGTTAAAGGCGTCCAGGACGGGCTTCTGAGCACGCTCACAGTCTGGACACCAGTACTTGCCCCTTCTGTCCACATCACTCATCACAAAAATGTACAGGGGTCCCTGCCTGTTGACATCATACTCCCTGACAAACTTGTAGCCATCGTCAAACCCTTGCAGATACACTACCGAGTGTCCATGCAAGCGGTTGTGCACCCTGGTGCTGCTCTTTTCGACGTTAACGTCTTCGATTGAGCGTAGAAAAGTGGTCATCGATACAAATTGATACGTGAAGGCCAGCGCAAAGAGCACGAAAGTGGCTAGAGCCATTTGCATGGAGCGCCTGGAGCCGATCTTTCGACTGCTAAGCGTCATCCCTGGTTTGACTACAGCTGTTGTTCGTTCCTCTTGTGAGATCGATGTGAAAATAGTGTGAGGTCTAGAAGTGATCGACGGCGGGAAGTGCAGCTTTGAGATAGTGGGAGGAGGAGGAGGAAAAGATGCGCAGGGCTTTGTTACTTGGTTCGTTTTACCTAGTCAACGACAAATACGGCGTATAGATTGTGGACGAGAAACGCCGACTGCCCGGGGGAGATTGCGATAGCCACGTCATGTGCGACAGTATATTCGCAGAAATGTTTGCTGGATGAAGAATCATCTCCAGCCTCTGGTTGACTAACTCGAGTTGTCACAAGTCTGTGATTCGGCAAAGCGCTACGATCGACTGACCTTATCGGGACGTAGTACTTTGCATGACCCTACGTTGCGCTGCGAGCCGCGGCTGACGGCCAAGTCAATGTGGTCATTGCGTGTCATCTGATGGAATAGAAGGACACTCTAGAAGGTGCTTTTGTCGATTTAGGACATGCTTGTCAGCCGTAGGGTTGAGCAATGTAGAAGCCACACCTAGCCACTGTTGATGCGATGCAATGCTCGCTACAGGACCGTTGCCGTCGTTCTCAACCGTGGTGTTGTTGCGCACAGCAGTATGCCAACATACCATTTTCCTGATTCCATCGTTCGACACGGATCTAGGACCATCGCACACTTGGAGTCGATATTGGTCGCGGTGAAGTGCGAGTTTATGTGTGTGAGTGACTCACTTTGTGTACGAAGGCCTTCGTTTCCATTCATCTTCGCGTTCGAGACTTGAAGCCGAGTTCGATCATACGACCGCGTATGAAGGGACCCGGCTGCTCGTGTATTCCTAATTCTGGTGAAATTACTGCCGTTGGTGACTGCTACGTTTGCTAGCTCTACCGCCTGTGGAAATGGAGTCTGTTCGGTTCGACGATCCGCGTACACTACACTTCGTCCATCGATTAGTTTGCTAGCAGCAATATCCAAACCCCATCAGCAACATGAACTAACCAAGCTTTTCTCAGTTGATACGCAGCACCTGCGCATGGAGTGATGTAAAGTAGCAGAACTTCGTCAAGCTTGTATGTCTTGCACAGCCACAATCGTGTCTGTTTCTACCTACCACACATTCTCTCCTAATTTCTGAAGATCACATCATTGTTGTAACGGGGTGAATCGTTACATAACAATTTATAAGAAATTGTTAATAGAATATAACTATAAGAGTTTTATTCTCAGAATATTGTCATAAGGACAAATATTCTGTTGCACTTACAAGTAGTTCTTAATTGGTTGATATAGGCCATTATATCAACTAACGAAGACGCGCCACGACAGACGCACGCAATGAGTGGTGAGCAGATAACTGATTTACACATTTGTATTTAGACATAGTTAGATGAAGATAAATAGTGATTTATTGCAGACATTAACTATTATAAATACAGTTCTACTTTTTACTTTAACCAAGTACTCGCTTCTTCTACCGTCTTCCTCTGCACGTACGAGTGTACGTGAAGTTACGAGGCACCGCCTTATTCTGTCATCAGAATAAGTAGCTTGTACTGTCACCAGTACAAGCTTCAGGGTGCCCCGTTACACCTGGTAGCACTTCGTAGTCCGTCCAAGGACCGCGTTCACATCCAACATGAATATATTGGATGATGAAGATGACCAAAGCTTTCACGCTACGCGTGACGGCTACTCCCATTTGAGCGATGTCGAATGGGATGCGGTTGAACAAATGGGTTCGACCATGGGCATCCATGCTGTTAGCGTCATGCTAGAGGCTCTCAACAGAGATGCCCAACATGCTACTATCGCCAAGTTCATTCAAAATGAACTTGACGCTGAACGCGAGAAAGTAGCCTTGCTTCACCAACAAGGTTCTCAACAAGCAGAGTTGTTGAGAGAACAGGGTGCTCAACAGTTTGAACTGTTGAGACAGCAGCAGGCTGCTGCTGGCGGGTCGATGCACTCGCGTCGACCCGAGACTTTGAAGATTGACATCTCCAAGTATAGGGGGGTCGAAGAAGACTCCCTCTTGAGATGGTTCGTCGAATTGGATGACGCCATAAGGGCGCGTCGCATCGACGACGGGGATATGCAAGTTGCATTTGCCCAGTCAAATCGGACAGTAACGATGCCTGCCGCTTGTTCATCAGATGGCCATCTGATGAACGTTTTGGAGCGTCCACAGGCGTGTGGATGTACTACGAGTGAGTGCGATGGCCTCACTTGTGGTACGGTCGTTAGTACGACTGCACAAAACCTTAGTGTACGAAACGGTTACACTTCGGAGCAAAGTTCCGGCGGCTGTGAGGAAACACAGGCTGCGCCGAAGGTCCACCACTCGAATAAGTCGGGTGGACTGGGACAAAGATGTATCCCTAGCGGGGAACATCTAGAAGAGAAACAATCGATCGCTCAGGTTAAGCGAAACGATAATCCTAGATCGACTGGAGAGTCTTTCGTAGAGGATCTCGCTGTGGTTGCGCAACCCCAGCTAGAGGAAATAAAGGGAATAAGTCCCAAGATTACAAATACGGCGGAAATAAGTTCCCCGAAACCCGCGGGAATAAGTCCCCGGGAAGACGAAGGAATAAGTCCTTCGAAGCCTGAGGGAATAAGTCCCCAGGAAATGACAGAGACATTAAATGTCATAGTCAATAACGGATCAAGTGTAGGCGCTTATACACTTGATCTGATTGCGCCTCCGAAGTTAACTTCGGAGATTACTCAGTTGCCAACTCTCGAACATAAAAGGTTCTTGCGTGATCTGCGTAGTGGCAAAGTCAAGCAGATCTGCATACTCGTCGCTGACGAAGAGTGTGTAACCGACATAAGGTCAGCAACAGTGTTCACTGAGAACGAGAGAGTTCTCAGTAGTTCATCTATGGACGAGAGTGTCCTAGATGAAAAGACACGAATTGAGCGATATGACTCCCAATCATGGGAATCGCTCAAGAAAAATCCTCTCTATGAAGATTTGGTTGAATTCATAGATGTATTCCCTGAAACTGTTCCGTGCGAATTACCGAAGGATAAAGGTATTCGACACGAAGTCGAGCTTAAACCAGGCTCGAAGTACTGTGTCATGAAGCAGTGGCCACTGCCTCGTGAACAAGTACTTGCGATCGACAAGTTCTTTGCCGATCGTTTAGCAGCTGCAGGCCATGTGAGGGAATCAACTTCCCCACATAGCTCTCCGACCTTCTGTGTGCGAAAAGCAACAGGAGGGTGGCGGATAGTGCACGCGTTTAACAAATTGAACGCTGCAACGGTACCGGCTCAGACGCCGATACCGAGGAAGGACGTAATCATTGATGGTATGTCAAAGAGTACCATCTTTTCGTCCATGGATTTGATGGATGGCTTCTATCAAATCCTAATGCGGGAACGGGATATACCCTATACCGCAGTTAGCACGCCTAGCGGCATGCTCTGGGAATGGCTAGTAATGCCACAAGGGCTCAGTAATGCCCCTGCCACGTTCAACAGATGTGTATCACATCTGTTGAGATCAGTACGAGAATTCGCGCCGAGTTATTTCGATGACGTATTCATCCATAGTCGAGCTATGGATGGAAAGTCGGACGTTGAGGTTCACAGGTACCACGTCCGACAAGTTCTTACAATCATGCGAGAGCATCAATTGTATGCTAACCTCAAGAAGTGTATATTTGCAGCAAGCGAAATACCACTTCTTGGGTGCATCGTTGGTAAGAACGGTGTACGTCCTGATCCCGAAAAGATCAAGGCGATCACCGACTGGCCTGTGCCGGTTGATGTCAAAGGTCTTCGAAAATTCCTTGGGCTAGCGGCGTATTTGCATAAGTATTCACGCAATTACGCCAAGATGACTGTGCACCTCTCTCGTTTGTTGAAAAAGAACGAGAGGTGGTTATGGAACGCTGAATGTCAGCGCTCCTTTGAGGGTATCAAGCAGAGCTTGATACAATCCCCAGTCCTAGCAATAGCCGATCAGGACAGGCCATTTCATGTGGTCTGTGATGCCAGCGATTTCGCAATCGGCTGTGCATTAATGCAGTACGATCTTGAAGTCATTAAACGCATCGTCTGCTATCAGTCGCGTCAGCTGCAACCAGCTGAGCGGAACTATCCAGTGCATGACAAGGAACTCCTTGCCATGAAGTATGCACTCGCGAAGTTCAGAGTCTATCTATTAGGAGATAGACCCTTCGTTGTTTACACTGACCATGCGTCATTACGCACGGCAGTGAACAGCCCGCACCTTTCACAACGAATGGCGCGGTGGTTGTCATTCTTTGCAGAATACAACTTTACGGTCGAGTACAAACCAGGACGACTTAATGTCGTCGCTGATGCACTCTCACGTCGTCCCGACTTTGAAACAGTCGCGAAACCCAACAGTGAGACAGTCACTGTTGCGGTTATGACGTCCTCAGTCCCATCTACAACGTTGTATGATGATGTGAGGCGGGCATACGCCCAAGATGGTGAGATTGTGAAGTTGTTGACACATCTCTCCCAACCATCCCGAGAATCGTTGAAACGATTGTCGTCTGCGTATCGATCTGCATCAGATCGATACACTACTCGTAACGGTTTACTGTATTATACAGCCGTTTCTGGTGACACACCACGTGTTGTCATTCCAGATGATACTGATCTGCGTTTGCGGATCATGTTCGAGTATCACGATGCTCCTATAGGAGGACATCGTGGCCGAGAGAAAACATATCTCACGGTAAGTCGAGACTTTTACTGGCCCCGCCAGTATCAGTTTGTGCGAAAGTATGTTCGCGCATGCGAAGTCTGCCAACGAGTGAAGTCAAGTCCTTCACTGCGTGCACCTTTACAGCCTCTACCGGTTCCGGCTGAGTGCTGGGAATCCATCTCAATGGATTTCGTCTTCGGGTTACCCAAAGACGCACGCGGGAATACGGGTATTCTCGTATTTGTTGACAGATTCAGCAAAATGGTACACCTTG